CTCGTAAAACAGTGACTTGTAGTACTTGAGCCACCGGTTTGACAGCTGCAGCGAGTACCGCTGAAGCCTCAGCTGGTCGTGGCGATCTACGTCACCCATCAAGTTCTGGTACGGCTTGACAAACTTAGGGCATGGCACCTCGACTTGTTGGGCACCATCACGCCGAACGATGAGCTCGGGCTCATCACTACCACCAGTAGTCAGGAATAACACAGGCTTATTGTCCCACCACACGCACGCTTTCATTTGCGGTACGATGTTGCAGATGACAACCGTATTCGCACCACGTGTCATGCCTCGGGGACGGCGCTTTTGCCGCGAGGGAGGGACAATCGTTTTGCAAAATCCAAGTCTATATTCAACATAAGCGACAACCTAAAGTCAGCATATGAGTCAACGTAACGCACAATATACCTAACAGCATACCAAGTGGGGATCCCAGGATGTACACGTTCATTGCCAGTAGCTCGACGGCGAGGGCTGCACACGTATAGAATCGGTCTGTGACAACCAGGTAGTGTTCGGGCTGCTCGCGGCCTAACAGAGCACGCATATTTCGAACAACAGCAGCGGGTCCCTCAGGCATGGAAGTAGGCTCGACACCTGGCTGGTCGCTGGCAAGTTGTTTCTTTCCCGCGTAGATTTCAAATCTGCCAGTACAACATTAGCATCAGCAAGTTCAGTAACACTACGTAGATTAATACAACATAAGGACTTAGCGCGGAACAAAAAACATAGATCGCGTACCGGATGCAGTACGCAGACTCTGCACAGCACGTCAGGAACATCTTGGTTCCCTATTTGTGGGGCTTCGCTTTGAGATTAATGCGCCCCTTGTTGTAGGATAAGAACGAAGGAAGCATACCCTTGTCAAGAGATAGCCGCGGTGGTGGTACGTAGCCGCTCTTGAAGGTCTTCTGGAGAGCGTCGACGACAGGTCGGATCTTCCAGATCCGGTCGACGCGACTCCTTTCGTCGTTGTTGTCGCTATAATGGAGGTTTCCCATGATATGGAAAAAGCGACCCCGCGCCATATAATTGCCAAACGAGCCGCGCGAGATGCCACCTTTGTCATGCGTGCTCCAGTGATTGCTCATGCGCTCCCTGTTGGGCTGAATCGTGCGTGCGAGTAGAAGACCCACCACATGTAAAAGCTTAACGGCCTGAATGGGCCGAATCTGCTGAAAAGCAGCCTTGAATTGAGCACGCGTCTTGTCGAACGACGGGTTCTTGCGCTTATGGTTCGTGTACTTTTCGTCTGCGCGCTTGTTGATTGTGGAGAGATGATACAGGTTCGACTCCACTGCGATGTTGCGCCACAGGGCCGGCGGCATAAAGAACAGGAACGGAGCTAACTGTGTCTCTGCCACCTTCTTGATCGCCGCGCTGGGGCCGTAGTACGAGTCTTTGACGCCAGGGTAGTCACCACCGGACTCCAACGCCGTGCTGCCACCGAGTGCACGAAGAAACCCTTCGTTGAACCGCGTCTCGCTAGCTCCATTTCCGCCGATTGGGTCGTCCTCGCTGTCGCTCTCGGTGTCGCTGTTGTCCACAACAATCATCTGAGCATCGTCAGCCTGAGTATAGCATAGCAAACAACATATAATACAGTATAAGTCAACATACAATACAACATAAGCGATACCATAACATCCAACATAAGTGGCAACATACCTCTCTCTGCTTGTCGAAGTCGTCAGCGTCAGGATCATCGCCATAGTCAAAGACCTTATACGCGTCGGGGTCGCCATCAGGTCTCATCCGGTTGAGAGCGTGCACGAGCTCATCGGTGGCGTCATCACCGCAGTCGTCGTCCTCACCAACTATGGCGATCTCGGGAAGTGCACCCACCCTAGGGGCCGGACGACGCGGAGTGCGAGGAGGTGGTAGGTCTTGGTCCTCCGTCTTGGGCTCCTCGTCAACGCTTGATGCCGCCTCTTGATCACGGCCAGCGTCGTCCAAAGTCACATCAGCTTCGTTGCCGTCCTCCATGGCGTCAGCTCCACCGCCGTTGTCCACGGGCACAGCTACATCCAGCACTTGGAGTTCTCCAGAGCCGACGTCGCCCATGGTGCCTGCCGCATCGGAGTCTTGTGTGTTGGTGTCCTGCGACCCACTCAACAGATCGAGATAGTTCTGTATCACTGCAGTGGTCCCGGGG